ACCTAGAGAGAGAATTTAAGGAAGTCCCAAACCAACATGAATCTCTGTCATCTCTCATCTCTGTGGATTCTTGTGCCCAGACCGGTCAGCCCCCTGGAGATACAGATCCTAGTCCTCTAGTGCTCAGAGTCCACACTCTCATACTTAGCCAGCTAGACCCACCAAGAAAGTTTGGAGCCCAAACATTGGTGTAATGATGGCTCTGCCTGGCTCCGGAACATTGGGGAACTCTGTGGGTGGGGAAGTCAGCTTAGTTGAGGAAAAGACACCAAGGATCCCAACTGTCAAGAGATGCTCCTTGCCAGTGTAGACAGTTTTCTGTTTCCAGCTGAGGCTCTGGGAAATTCTCTACACTGTGGTCAGATCTGTGAACTCCACAGCACTTGGCTGGCCATCACCAAGCAGGATTTCTTTTAACCACCACACTTTTGCCCTATGACTTTAGACGTTATCAGACTGATATTCAAATGTGTCTAAAGTGACCCTCAGTGTCCTTTCAAATATCACACTTCTTAGCACAGACCATGCCAAGAAAAATGTGCTATAAATACATAAAATCAGAAAAAATGTGAACGAGTGTGAATGTGTGTATGTGGGGTAGGGGAAAACTACTGAAAGAAGTGACAATACAAATTATTCTTCCCTGAAAATTTTCCTGATTTTTAGATAAGTTTGAAAATGCACAGAAACTGGGGACATCTTGAGAAATTATAAAGTTACATTTGAAAAGTCCACTTTTATAATAAAACCATTAACTCACAGACAAGAAAAATTTGGGAGGTTGCCTAGTGCCCTTCTCCCAATTACACTGCATTGGAAACTTCTTGAAGAGGGATAAACACATCATTTATTTTCTTCAGCTGGAGCTCTTAGTCAAGTTCTTAGGAATGAAGAGGAACAGACTGGAGGCCTCTGTCCAAATCCTGGATCAGCTTGACTCTGTTTCTTGCCCTAGGCTACCTGAGTTAAGTTGCTTTCTTCTCCGCTTCTTCAGGGGAGAATGATGACAATCCTCCTTTCCATTTAATTCTTCCCAAGCTTGTTGGAAAGAGCCGTTAGTTTATGTTTTATTCTTTATGCCTGTAAGATCTTGGGATGAAATACTCTCGATAAACCACAAAGCCTATTACTATTTTAAGTACCTGCATCTTCCCGGAGAGGGAACACGCTGGCTCCCTGCAGGAGAAATAAATGGAGTCAGCTTTCTGGCTGGCACACTGTCTTGAGGAAAAAATAAAAAAAGACACAGATCTTCTTGTTCTGTCTACTGTAGAAAATGTGTCCGGATCTAGTAAAGCAAAGCACAAATTTCAGAAGAGTTACGTGTTCCGTACTCTGTGCTACACAAATCGGGTTTTTTTGTTTGTTTGCTTTTTGGTCCAAAAGAACAAGCTCTGAACACAAAAAGGAGAGGATATGAGGGTGTTGATAAAATGCCTTTTCGAAGATGTGTGTGGGAAGAAACATATTCTTTCTCTTATTTTAATGTCTTGTTTCATAGCTGTGAAGGAAAGAAAACGACTTTGGCTACCTACATCTCAAATGATACATGCAGTTTGCGGGAGCACCTGGCACTTGTGAACAAAACAGCAGGCAAAAATATTTTGTTCTATTTTCCCATTGTAATCTCTCTTAGAGTTTTTTTTTTGGTCCCTCTCTTTGTGTTCTTGTCAAGATTGACAAGCATCTGTGTGTTACCAAGTGACATGAAGTTCTTGCTTGAATAATCATGACTAAAATCCAGGATATTTCAAAGCATGTTATTGACTCAGAGAGCCACCCACTAGATCGAATTCTTCTGAAATAAGTCTGACTGACAGCATCCGGGAGGTAGTGCCTTTACCCCAAATTGTGAGGTCCTCCCAGGTCCCTGCCATAGCTCTGGTGTTGGCATTCTCGTCCCAGGGTATTAGGATATGAGTGTGTTGCTAAAAAGATTTCTTTTAGTAATGTTACAGAAAACCCCAAGTTTAGGAATTAAACTGAATCAAAAAGCAGACAGCAAGAAGCAGAAATGAAAATTCTTTTTATTTGAAGTGGGTGGCACTGTCTTGTTGACCTTCCTTCAGGGTGGACCCTAACTAATGTCATTGCTGGGAATGAGATGGCAAAACTCATGGGGCACTTAGAATGGAGCTGGGGGTGGTTTTTAATGAAAAGTAATGAAGTCATGTTTTACTCTCAGCATGTACTGAGGTTCTTGGGAAGAGAGTGTGACGGAAATTGTCAGGAGGGTCATTATGTTGGGATATGCTGAACATGAGGCCTTTAGACCCCTCTCTTCTGCCTACATCTGAGGGGTGGCTCCAGAAATTCTATACAGGAAGGGCTCAGAAGCTGCATTCTGTTTGGAAAGTGGAAAGGAGGGAGGGGACTTCCTGGAAGCAGATTTGCGCTGCAAGCCCACTGTTTTTACTTAGATGCGTTTAAGAGTGGTTTGGCTAATCACCCCTCCCCTGAAGCAAATGAACCCTTGGTGATGCCCTTGACCAATTCCTTGGGCAATGCGATTCCCTGCCTTTTTTTTTTTTTTTTTAATCTTCTGCATTCATCATCTGTATAAAAAAAAAAGGACACACAATTATTGCAAATTTACTGCTCACAGGGCGCATTAGCAGTTACAACTCCATTTTTTAAATAGGCACACATATGTATTTAACCACTGAATGACTTGTCTAATATAGCGGAATGTATCAAACTAAAAACTGACAGAGAATATTGGCCTGATTAGTTATTTATAATCATTTTTCAGAAGCACCTGTTTTCCAGAGGGTCTGCGCAAAACTCATAAGCTTTTCACAGCATTTTTGCCAATGCTTTCCTGCAGGATGCTTATGTTAGCAGCAGAATTTGAGACTAAGCTTTGCAAATAATTCCTAAGAAACTGTTAGAATGGCCAGTGACCAATTCATCAGCATTATCTGGACCTTTTTTATGACACCTAGATTATATACATTCTTATAATAAGAGATAAAAGATTCTAATCATTATCACTGGGAAAAGACATTCAAATACATATATGTGTTTTATTCACCAAAATTTCCCCTACGATTCTTTTTATATAATACCATAGAGAAGCATTTCAAATACTTGGTTACCAAAAAATTAAGTGTGATTCATGCCACATTGTTCCTGTCCTCTCTCTGGTTTGGTCTGCTTTCCCAGTAGAGGGTGCAGAGCTATCTATTGGGAACTAGCTTCTTGATCAGGGACTCACAGTCGTTTTCAAATTATCTTAGCCCCCAATTTTGTATGTTCTGCACTTGATCCCTTTTCTCTAATCTCTTGTGGTTTGTAGCCTCGGCTGAGGTCCTGGACATCTCATGATTTGGTTTGGAGACGGTCTCACCTTCAGGAGCAGCTGATTATTCATCAAAGGGGAATCTACAATTGTCATCTTTTCATCACTTCCCCTACTTCCTTAGGGCACTGTGGGGATTTCTCTGGACCAGTATCCTCATAATTTGCTTCAGTGACACTCAGGTGTGGTCTCAGGTCTTGTCATTTCCACAGTCACCTTTGTGGCTACTATGAAAATTTACTCCACACACTTCACCATTGTCTTAAAGCCTACAATGGATTTTAACTCACCAAGTTTTCTATTTTGTGAGAAGCTCCTAACCCCTTTTTGACTGTTTGTAAAGATGATTTCCTTTACCTCTAGGCTTCCTAATCTTAAAATCTCCAAGTTTTTTCTTCACTCACCTTTGTTTTTTTTAAAAAGTATCTATCTCCTCTCTCATTTATGCATAATATAAATGCTTAAATTTTATATTTTCTCTACTCTATAAATCATTACCATGTTATGCTTACACATAACGTCTGGCTTATATTGTAAACTTTGAGAGTACAGATTGTAAACATTAGCTTTATTCTGCACAGCATTGAGCACAATGTCATGATCACTTAAATGCTTTTGATGATGATGGTGATGATGATAATGACAACATAATGCTGTTCTGGTTTGAAAATATCACATAGCCAGTCCAGTACATCTTTTTTTTTGTAATTATGAGTTGTTCCTCATTCTATAAAGCTGTCATTCTTCATTAGCAAAAAAGGTTACAGTAAGTTATAATTAGCATTTAGTGCCCTGTCAAACAATTAAGTATAATAAAAAGCTTTAAATGAGTTTAATGTTAACATGGTATAATTAAAGCCAAGTCTTGAAATGCATTAGGTATCTATTACGGCAAATATTTGATGCTTTTTCCCTCCACAGATGAAATTCTCAGATTGTGCCTATACAGCAGCGTGATCACCAAAGACAAAAACTCACATCTCTCAGATGCAGAATGGGCTTTGCAGTGCCCAGCTAGGGCAACATTCAGAAAATCAAACAAACCACTTATACAACCCTGTTATTTATTGATAAGGAAACAGAGTCCCAAGATATTGTGTGACTTGCCCAACGTCACACAGTGCTAAGTTAATTCTTCCTTGAGTGTGAGAATTGAGATTTTGGGTTGTACTGAATCATTTATTATTATTATTATTGTCATTATTTCTTTCTTAAGGGTAAGATGTTTGCTGGAAAAAATGCCTATTTTTTCTTTGTCTTGATGGGGTGAAAAAAATATAAGCAAAGTGAAAGAATATAATTTGTATTTAGCCCTCGTTGTATTTGACAGTCTTTTAGGCTGCAGGGCTTGTCATAGCACCTATTTTAAGGCTCAGATACAACGACAAGGCTGAAATCTCACCATTTTCTCATCAGAATAACTGGAATGTGCCTAGATACTTGGCCATGTCTAACCCTGCATTCTTTGGGCTTCTCAGGCCTTCTCTTGTGTGTGTCGTATTATCTTTTCTGTCCACAAAGATTTTGAAAAATCAGCAGAGTACAAGTAGCCCCTGAAATAAAGGCGTCATTCAAGGAACAAAGAAGTAGAAGGAGGGCTCCAATTAAAATGATGAAAATCTTTAATTTTTATTTAGGTATACTTGTACGGACACGTGTATATACAAATACAGATCGTATGGGTTTGTTTGTGTGTGTGTTTTTTTTTTTACATTATCTTTTACGTTTATATAATGTCAGCATTTCAAAACAGCACTCGATGAGTAAGTGCAAAGGAACTTGAAAGCAGGGCAGTACAAGCACAGGACCACACGGAGCTGGACTTCACACCCAGACGCACACACAATGAGTGGCTTCAATGGGGTGTCAAGAGTAAGCATGGAAAGCGGATTTTGACTCATGGGTAACCTCCAACATGCCAGCATCTATTAAACTGTACAGACAATGGGGGCAAGCCCATTGTAGGGAGATTTGTCTCACATCCGAGCAGCTCTGGGGCAAATGCATGGGAAAAACGCAGTGATGCCAAACCAGAGACAGACCTGCCCATTCACGGTTCTGAGGGAAATAAAACATGGGAGAAAGGCGAGAGACAAAAAAATAAACATAAGAAAAGGGGTAGGGGGTGTAGGCAAACGGGGGTGTTGGTGGAGGTGGTTTTCAAAAGAAAAACTAGTGACCACAGCTCTGAGAGCAATGAATGGAGAGGAGGAGCTTAAACTGTTTTTCTAATTTTGGGGAAACATACAAATGGCTGCTGCCGTTGCTAAGGCACCAGAGAAAAACCAAGTCCCTGAAAATCCACAGGTACTGTGTGACTCTTCCTTTCACAATGATACAGAGGGAAACAGCCCCCATTTAACCTTCCTAAACAGACTGGTTTGCAACCTTTCCCATGTGTGGGCTGCACGTGATACTGGCAAGACTCTTCCTGGGGAAAAATGAAACAGTCTATGAAAACCACCACAAACAGAAAACCAAACCAAAGTACAGAACCGTTTCTAAATTCCGTAAACCTTTATCAAACTAACATGCTGGGGAGAAAAAAAAAACACCATAGGGCTCCAACATCAGACCTTGAAAACACTGAGGACAAAATATTGATCAAAAAAGTCATGTTGTTCCAGGTCCCAAGATGGTGGAGTCTTAAGACTGGCAGGGCGATGACCACACGTGAGTCCTGTATGGAGCAGTGTCTTGGCCATTTGTGACTCTTCTCAGCCACATATACATTGGATGTTTCAAAGCCTCAATGCATGTTTTGTATCCTGAAAGACTATTGTTCTCACTTACAAAAGACATAAGAATCAAATTAATACTTTATTATCAAACACTATATACAACAGAGGTTGCTAATAATACAGAATTTAAAGAACGCAGTATTTTTTTTAATGTTTTACTTTTCTTTCCTCTGCCACCCAAGAAAGTACAGTACAAAACAATAGCCTAAACTAACACGAACTGTTACCTGGTCTATTAAAGGATACACGGTATCCACTAAACAGACAGATCCTTATTTCCCTGCTTCAAGTTGCAAAGCCCTGGGCAACCAGGGGCAAAGGTCGCGGGGGTTTGACTAACTGGGGCCGAGAAGCCGCTAAGGCTGCCCTTCAGACTTTTGAATTGTTTCTGAAATTAAAAGCTGCTACAAAGTTGCATCAACATCCTCCTAAGCCCCCAGAGGGTTGTACCACCAGCACAAAAGGCCACCAGCACTTTTTGGACAGATGAAAACTGTCTGATACCCATCATCTTCTTGAAAATTCCATGGCAAGCATTACCTACAATTACGTCACTTATAGGTAGAGAAGCACACTATCTACTGATGTGGATAGTCTTGCTATTTTTTTTTTTTTTTTTTTTTTACTTAATTTGTAGTGGCACAATGGTGAAATAAAGGGGTCTAATTTCACTGTGAAAAATGAAAGACAATGGCAGAGGGCCATGAGTAATTATTTCATCATTTGTTAGAGACAAATGCTAGAAAAACCACAGAAGTCACCGTTTCTAAATGAAAGTAGCATTGCTAACGCAGTTATGACTAACTGGAATCATTACAGGATCCGCTGATTTCCTTGTGGCTATAGAACATGCAGTATTATTTTGGTTCTGACTATTGATCCGTTTTAGAAGGTATCTTTTCCCCCCTACCCAAATCCCACTGGACCAACAAGCCTGTAACTATTACTAAAAAGAAGTATTACTGGATATCACTGAGAGTACTGAGCATATAAATAGTTAAAAGAAAAAAGAAGCTAATGCTGTGAACTTTTGTTTCAGTGAAATGGCGGCTGCCTTCTGTGATAAGAGTCTGCCACTCCAGAGAAGTTCCTGATGTTGGGGGAAGAGGATTGATTGGATCTGTGAGGCTGGCAACCCCACTCACGTGGTTCCAAGTGTGAACAGACCCAGCAGTAACATCCACTCCAAATGGATCAGGTAAGCCCAGATTACATTTAAACATGTGTACAACTCTCCAGGGCGCAGTACGTTCACAGCTGCCTTTCATTCACATATTTTTCTAATTCAGAACTGCTCACAGTTCTTAGCAAATTCCCATTCATGAAGTCTGTCCACAATATGACCCCTCTTTTTTTTTTTTTACACACACATTTTAAAAAACAAATATATAAAAAAATCCGTATTTTGCTGGAATGCTTCCAATTTTTCACATCTTACATGGTCATTGCATTTATTTTTTGTTTTGTTTTGAAAGGCATGGTTTCTATTCACATGTCGTGCAATAGCAAAAAAGGCTAGATTTCTTTTCCATTGGTCTGACACTTTTTCCTGTCTAGGCTTTGCAGTTCAAAGTCCGTGACAGCCTCACCAGTAGAAACCCCCAAGGCTTGCATTTCCTTGTAATCAACTGGAAACGTCCCTTGTTGGCCATGCTAAGATTCGTTAAACAGGGTCATCCTGCGTTTATTCTCCTTCTGCCCTACCCCCACATTGAAACAAGATAGCCCCCCATATTTCTAAATGTATCAAGGGATACCACTTTTTCTCACAAGTTTAAATAAGACAAGCATATATACTCACTCTCAGCATAAAGTATATCTAAATAATGTATTTTCTATTCTAGTGGATTTTTAAAAAAATATTTTGTTAAAGTCTTTGGGACTCCATCTTGTTTATCTCCCACAGATAAACACATGTTCCCCCTACGCTTCAGGCTGTGTCAGAAAGGGAAAGAATATAAAATCAACACCTGAATTTTTTTATCCAAACTTTGGAAGTTTTATTCCAAATTTCCCTTTAGCCCTCCCAAGTAGTGCTGACTGACTCTCCTGGTGACAGGGGTTTGTGTCTGAGCCCCTGTAGTTGTGGATTGTGGAGCCAAATGTGGGTACTAGGGGGGAGTGGGGGAAAGGCCACAGCACACTGGTGCTCCAGCAAAGCCAAATCACATCTCCTCTGGTCACTGCCATCCTTTCCTTGGTGCATATTGTCCCCCAGAGGAGTATCCAAAGCTATTCCATCATACACTCATCAACCCTGGCTTGTCAGCCTTGGGGAAGGTCACTTTATTCATAAAAATGCCTCTTTGAGTTTCTAAAAAAAAAAAGTTGTAGCACCATGGTGATCTGTATTCAAAGGAAAGAAAAATCTGGTGTGCACTGCCCAGTCACCAAAAAAATTAGAGGCACTCACACACACGCACCCCCACCAAACCTAGTTGTCTCTGTCTTCACAGTTCTCTGTGCTAGCATTCCGGCACCTGACCCGCCTCCTAGAAAAAAGGCTTCTTATACAGAGCACAAGTTTTGCTGTCAAGAATGCTTTAAGACAGTCATCTTAAAAGAACCAGTGTCTCAACCTTTTAGAAGCCTGTTCATTTATATATTCCTAGAGGAAACGGTGTAATATTATATCTATTCTTAATACCTCCCCTCTGGACTTGACATGGTGACACGATGCCCTGCACGATCATCTTACAGTTCTGAATGAGAAGGCATAAATATTGTATGGGAGAGTAAAACCCTCCTGGGCCTCACCATCACTGGCTGCATCTGCCACTACTCTTCCTTGCAGTGCGCTAACGGAGGTGAGCTCTTAGAGGAGAATGCACAGGAGCTGACGACCACTGGTGTCACTACGACAATTTGGCATTTTCATCTGGAGTCCGTTTAATTTGGAAGGGGTGAGAGAAGTCAAGGGCGAGGGCTAGGGGTAGGGTGGGGTGAGGGAGGCAGCATCTACTTTAGCCCCCCCAGCCCCAAGTTGTTGCTTAGAATTCAGGCTGAAAGAAAGAAAACAAAAATCTGACATCTGCCAAAAAACTAATAACAAGTCCCTTCTTAGGATGAGCAGTTAGGTGGATCTCTGGTGTTCCAAGACCCTGATGTTTTCTGTGACAGGTGACGGGAGGAGACTGTGCTATAATGTCAAAAGCATCGCCAGGAGGAACAGTAGGATTGCCAAAAGGCGGCTGGGTATCCTTGGTGTTTGTGCCGCGTTCTCGCCGCGGGATGGCTCGGCTGACTCATGTACGGTGTCATCTGTTCAAATAGAAAGCACACATTCCAATGAGATTTCACATCCTTAATAACTCTCTTGCAGCAGCCTGCTGTTAACAGACCTCGCCACCCTCTGCAAAGTAGGGTAATGAACCTTGTGCCACCATTGACTTTCATGTCTGCATAATCACTCATTATTTACAGCAAACAAAGGAGAGGCAGAGAAAATTGGAGTTTCTCAGCAATATTAATGCTTTCCTTAAAAATCGAGGGGAAAAATTGTGCATACATCATAACCTTGGGCACGTAAGCTACTTTGGTTTGCTAGCAGTCAGATGCAGCACTTTGCACAAACCTGAGATACCTGAATGTACCTTCTAGACCCAAGATGCCATAGAGAAGAAAGTGACATGTTTGGGGTGGGGGGAGGGGGTGCAGTTACATTGGCATATTAGTGGTTAAGCAGAATGGGCTGCCCATTTTCTTCTTTTTAGCGGTTTCATAGGATTAGTGTTGAATCCCTGGTTGTTGGATGCCCAGCTGAATTTGCAAATATGAAAAATTAAATGCCTAAACAACAGCATTTTACATAACTATATATAATGCCCACTAAACCTCAATAAACCAGTGCCCTCTGGTTTGCCTACAATTAGGAATCAATTATGGTGCTATTATCCATTACAAACCTTGTATCTCCAGGATTAAATTACTTGAACTTGACTATTTTATTTTTATCAGGCTGAAGCTTGGCACATAAATTATCAGTGTGGATGCAAATTTTCCTCTAAATAAAATGGATTAAGTGAGGTAAGATTCTTTTATTTAGCTATAAAGCGTTCTATGAGGCTGCCTCTGACTTTGGATGGCCTTCCTGATCTGCATGATTAACAGGCTTAACTTCAAAACAGGAACTTCGCAGCAATTAGTACCCAAAGATAGATTGGAGGCTTGCCTGTGAGCCATGCTATGTTCTAGTGTTGCCCGTCTTCTTCCTTCCACCTGGCTTAATTTGTGCTTTTAGACTAAGTGATCTCTGAACTACATGCGCTTGGGGCCAACAGTGGGCTTCAGCATCAGGGACCCTCCTGTAGGAACTCAGCGATTGTCATCTTGGATTTGTTCCATGGTCAATCAGAGAGAATGGAAACAAGTGAGACTCTAGAGTTGTTCTCAATTTTGTAAGAACAAACTCTAGTTTTTCTCAATTATCAAAGGATAATCATAAATATCCCTGAATGACCCACCTAGAACCCCTTAATGGAGTAACTATCTGTTATTTTAAACTCATTTATATTTTCACAGCCCACAACATGTCACAATAAGGATGCTTTTTCTTTACTGGGTAGAGTCACACTCCCCATTATTTGTCCGAAAGTAACCACTTTGCAGGCTCACAGGCTGGCTCCTGCTTCAGATATGGTCATGTGAGATGTTTCTGTACATCACATTCATTCCCAATATGAACTAAGAAATATGTCTTCCCAGCACTGAGTCTTCTGCCCTGGAGTGTTCTTATCATTTTAGCCTGTCCTCACGTAGAAGCAGCTGCAGCCCTGTGTCAAATTTGCTCCCCTCTCCTGGACCTTAGCAAATCTGCATGGAGTGGCTATAGCTTAGGAGACTAGAAGAGGTTAGGAAGCAAGAATGGGAAGTTAAATGACGGCAGAGGAAAATATAAAGCCCCACAAGGTATAGCCAAATACTTGTGGACTCTTCTCTTTTTCAGCCTTGCAAATGTATTAAATCTGTAGTTAACAAGAGGTAGACATAAATGCCCTTAATAGCCCTGAAATTAAAATCCAAATCACTTTCTGAAGAGCACCAACATGTTGTCAATCAGAACAACGAGCACTTGAGGCTTAATTGTGAAAGAACCATAAACCCTCAGGATTCCAGAGTTCATTTTTAAATACCACTTATATTTATACACCTGAAATCACATCAGCTATTGAGTTTTTCTCCACCTTATTTTTACTAACATATTACCCAACCTTCTTCCTTGTAAAGTTTCGAAGTATACTGATAAAAGGTACCCAAGTAACACTTAGGTATGAACTCAGTATGAGCTTGAAGGGGGCCCCGCCCTTCCCTGTCCCTCCAGGGTGCTCCGTGAGGGCTATCCATTGCTCTAGGCCCAAGTAGCACAAGACAGGGTGAATGGACCTTGCAGGACATTGAGAGGAAAGCTGTTGTTTTTCATATACGTGAAGCATGAGGCTCAATGTACCTTTCAGTCCACTGATCACAGACAATCTTTGCAATGAACCCTTTTCTAAGCAAACAACCAATAAATTCTGTCTTGCCCTCTAAGGGGAAAACCTGTCCTATTAGGGCATCATGATTCTTCTCTTCTCCCTGCAACATGCTGGTCCTGGTTCAGGAGTCTACAGAGCATCTTTTGATTAAAACAGGGCCTCAATGTTGGGAGATTCTATGGCCCCCAAGAAGCAAAATGAGAAACTGGTAAGTTTTTGGGTGAATATGAGCAATTTAAAAATTCTAAGGAGGAATTCATAAGTAAAATCTATCCCAATGGAAATTACACCTAAACATGAGAGAATTTCTAACACTTGTAACAGTGAATGTGGTTTGGAAGAAGAAAATATTCCTCTTCAGAAGCCAAATCAAGTCTTGCCTCCTGGCTACAGGATTCCACAACATGAGGGTTTCAATGGTTAACTGAGAGAACACTAGCAATATTTTGGAGCATATTATGTGGCATATGTCTGCCCTGAGATCATCCTGTGTCCCTGATGATAGGAAACTGGCAGGCAGAGTGTGCAAGCAAACAAAAAAGACAAATACATTCCAAAGACAGGTGAATTAGTACACATTGCCAAGAACATGCAGTAGAATCCTTTCAGGCTTGCTGGATTCATAAAGTCTGGGTCTACACTCAACCACTCAACACAGTGGTGCAGAGCTGCAAGTCTGATGGAATTTTCTAAGGAATAAGGTGAAGTACTCAAATTTATTACTGCATTCATACAGCCAGGGATCATAGCTCAACCTTGTCTTACATTTTTAGTGAAGATGCTCACCAGAAAGCCCTTAAATATAGTCATGAGTGACTCCAGAAGCTTTTCCTGCATGTATACCTATGCACGTCTACTCCCCAACACACATGCGCATGCGCACGCGCGCGCGTGCGCACACACACACACACGCACACACTCTCTCTCTCTAACTACATTCTGCCAAACTTTTGCAAACTTCCATTAGCTATATGTGCATAGATTTGGGAGTCATCATGGATTTTCAATGCTCAGTGAAAAAGAGCCTGTTTCCCAAAAGACAGCGAAATATGCTCATATATGAATACATCTTAATATCTTGCATTTTATCATTAGTTGAATTCAAAGGTAATTTTCCTAATGTCAGAATAGTCCTCAATGTGCCTCTTCATTACCAGAGAAAAATATGCAATCTGTTATGTTTCTAAACAGCCTCTTGCTTTCTTGATAGGCAATGGAATTTACCTAGAAAAAAGATAAAATGCTTTTGATACAACAATGTGCATCAAAAAATCATAATTCAGGGGCCGGCCTAATGGTGCAGCAGTTAAGTGGGCGTGCTCTGCTGCAGCAGCCCCGGGTTTGCAGGTTCGGATCCCAGGCACGCACCTACATACCACTTGTCAAGCCATGCTGTGGCGGCATCCCATATAAAGTAGAGGAAGATGGGCACAGATGTTAGCCCAGGGGCAATCTTCCTTGGCAAAAAGAGGAGGATTGGCATGGATGTTAGCTCAGGCCTGATCTTCCTCACAAAAAAAAAAAAATAATAATAATAATCATAATTCAGGGTAACTTATGTTTATAATATGCCTAACTCTGCTAGTCATTCTATGCGGGAGTTATTAAAGTCAAAAGAGAGTAAAGTTCTCTTTATGACCATCTATATGTCTAGTAATGGTAAGAGAATCCTACTTTTATACTAATGTTGGAATGAGAGTTGAGAGATCTGAATAGTAAACCTCCATCTGTCTCTAAGTGGCTGTGTGGCCTTGGGCAAGTCTCAGTTATAAAAGAAAGAGTATAGACTCTGTGGTCCTTAAAAAAGATCCCATCTAACCCACAGATCCCATGATGGCCCAAGTTCTTGAGCTTATGAGGAGTCTGGTACCTTGAAAAGCCACAATAATGCTTCCAGATTTCCAGTACACAATTAACATGTCTGCATGTCAGCACTCACTCTTTGCAACTATCTAAAGCAGCTAACTGATCCCTGGGGAGCCACTAAGGCCTCTGAGAGCTTATTGTACACACCTCTCATTTGCGCTTTGGGGTAAGTCGCCTGCCTTAGAAAGACAAAAATGCTTGGGGAAAAAAACCTAACTCCTCCTGTCAGTTACAAAGTGAAAGCTATTGTATGTCCTGAAACACCGCATTTACTCAGGTAAGTTTCCCTAAGGCTCACTGATGGTGTGTCCCAGTAACAATAGTCAAAGGAGAAAGTGGACTTCACAACACGTTAAATTTCCAGGACCATAAGAAAGAGAAGTCCTACTGCAAATAGATGGGAAAAAGAAAGTCTCTGTTTACATAAGGGGGCTCACATCTTTCTGTGAAGAGGAAATAATTTTATTTCCCTTAAGCTTTGAGATGGTCATGGGAGATGGGTAAGGAAACCCGTGAAGACCTTGAGCAAGAGGGGTGAGGAAAGGAAACCACAGAAGGCCAGCATACAGGGGCATCAAGGCACACTCCTTAGTGAACAATGGCTAGAGGCCCCGACCCCTCACACTCAATTTAGGTGCATTAAATAGCCACATTGAATTTATAACCAAGTGGTTTACATTATCCACACTATGCTACAGTGTAAATGCTTCAGTGAGTGCTTTTGTGGGTTTTATTTTTCTTCACCATGATGGGAAAGTTTGGGTGTGTGGAAGTTACTGGTAGAAAAAATTTGTCCTTAATACTTATTTTGGCTCAACAGACTACTGATACATTTGTGGGAGCAACAGGCGTGTGAATTTGTGGCAACATGATTATACTTCTCCAAACTGATTGCTATCGACAACAGCCCAAATAATATTTGAAATAAAATGAAGTTCTTTAGATCAGTTCAATGATGCATGTGAATTTCTAGAGAAAACTAATATGTTGAATTAGTTGCTATTCTGCGCAACAGACTTATTACTTTTATCCGTAGATTTGGACAAAATATAAAAAAATTTTATAAGCATATGCAATAGAAATTTTTTCTGTCTTATATGAAAACAGATCCATTAATATTCACAGTGATTCACCAGCATGCTCGGAGGATATGGTAAAAAGTAGTGAGATTTTAGCATTCTGATGGGGCCTCTACATTAGGATACTGCATTATATCAAACCCATGCCCAAAAAAGAAAAGTCATATTTTATCTACCATGCATTACACAGAGATACTGGAGGAATGAGGTAGAATATAAATAATATTAGCGTTACTAGCAATGAGCAAAAGCAGAGCAACTATAACATGCAAACATGCAGAGGGAAGAAAGGAAAAAAAGTACTGAAGCACCAGAGAGATGCATTTGTTAAAAGAGATTCTCTAAGCATACTAACCTGCTGGTTCTAATGAATTTTCTACTTTGTCGTTAACATCGAAAACACGATCATGAACACCTATAGTTTTCATACAGCTATCTATAACAAAAATAGAGATAACAGCCAAATATGTTAGTGAAGACACCCTTAAACTCCCGTTTCTTTCTTTTTTTTTCTCTCTATTTTTTCCTTTTATTGATGTAGATTGTTTTACAATCACTGGCATGTATCCAAATGCCAATATTGTTCCCATTTGCTGTGCACGTACAACAGTCTAAGAAACAACAAGTTAGCAACTGCTGTGTACTTAAAATAAAAGCATCATGAAGAATGATGAGAAAAAATATGATGAAAACTAAAACATGAATGTTGATATACAAAACAGATACCACACAGGATTTAACAGTAAAAAAAGTTTTACCGCTGTGAACCAGACCATACAATAAAGCATGCACTGTGAAGCCACCCTCTGAAGCTCATTCTAATGAACTTACTTGTTGGTCTCACAAAGACTTTGAGCTTTAGACAGGATCTTCTTCCATTATCTGGGATTGCAGAGGCTGTGGATAAGACAAAAAGAGAGAGCAAGAGAGAAAGGAGAGAACAACAACAGATTACTCTTCATTTTCAAATGCAAGTGGTCTGCAGTACATTCTTTCCTGAACAAGGGGGGCAAACTCTAATTCTTCCCAGAAGTTAAAACAAAAGTACTTTTCAGATTGATATGGGTTGCTACAGAAAGGGCCATCCCTATCTTCTCTTTTCAATACAATAAAGAAAGAATGATGCAAGAATGCTGGTAATCTACAGAAAAATACTTTGGATTTTTATTTCAAAGACTCTTCCATTTAACTTGATCTGTTATCAATTTTCTCTAAAATAAGAAGATAATGCTTGAGCCCTCCTGCTGTCTGAGAGCTACTCCTCTGCTCCTGCAGGAAGAGGGGCCCACTGGAGCCCAAGGGGAAAGTGCTGGCAAAAACCAATAACAGACAGTTACAAGGCCAACTTAAACATGACCTATTTCTGCTGGGGAAAGCAAAGCTTTGTCTGTCCTGAAAGCCTGTCTGTCAGTGCTTTGCAGGTAATTCAATTAGAGGTTTTACTCAGAACTTGGCTCTGCATTCTATATGACTAAACCACACCCAGTAACTCCCATCATACTATTATAAGTACAATATGCTATTGAGAAAGTACTGTGTTGCAATGGCATATTTTTAAAAATTTGCCACCGAGAAGGATGGAATTAATAAAGTGGGCCTACCCAAACATGACAACATGTTTCAAGTTGTAAATCATTTGAGGAAGAAACTTTCTTCTCCTCTTCAAGATAATAAGCCTGTAAACTTCCCCTTCATTTGAAAGATTATCTCCCCTCAGTGCACAAAGTGTAATGTCAAAGGGATTTCCAAGGGTGGTAAGACCCTTAACAATCACATATGTTGACTAATGCATTCTACAAATGACAAAAATTACAGAAATGAGTGCTTGCATACTTTCCTCCCTATGTGTTTGCTTCAAGTGGTTTCTTTGTTCAGAAAAAGCAGATGACACCAATCAAAACACACATGGCTTATAATTAGTTTGGTAATATCCTCAGTGACGAAGAGAGGACCAATGTTTGGGGTGTCTTCACTCTCCTTTATTTTTGTCTTTTATTCTTCTTCATGGGGAGCCCAGAAAACTAAAACGTTTCTTTTGCAGGTGAAAGGGTTCAAGATGCAAACTCCAGACTAATTTTACATGAATCTCCTCATGTAACTCCAGATCCACGTGCTGGAGGAGAACTTAGAAATGCACCACCTAAAAAACATCAGGCTGTAAAGGACCCCTAGTGTCACTATTCAACACCTGTTGAAACTTCTTTTAATTCTAGGACAAAAGTATACAGAAAAGATGTTTTCAGCCCTCCCCATCTCCCCTGGTCGCTCTGACAAGCAGTTAAGAAGTGCTAACAGCTGGCTTTGCTGTAGGCTTTCATTAAATCAAAGTCGGAAAAACTCCCTCTCCGGACATTTACAGTAACTAGTGTGTTATTTAGGGCACAATATTTGCACTCTGTGGTTTGATCCAGGAAATGGTGTCCTTCCTGTGGAACCCAACTGCAAATGTGCATGTCACAAATACAGTACATGTAGGTGACTCCAACTCTTTAGAAAAACCATGGATTCTTGAGATAGATTATGTCTTATTCTTGAGAGGTGGTGTGAAAAAGTGACACATGGATATTCACACTGCTGTTCTATGGATTTTTGAGCTAAGATGAACTCACTATGAGCCTTGTGACCCTGATTTGCCACACGCAATAACTAATTTTACCGATGAGACTGCAAGATGTAACAAGCTCAAGGCCAGATCAAATGTTTAATTGTTTTAGTGGGGGAACTTCTTGGAGTTAGTGCAGGTCTTTCAGATTTACATGTAGGAGAAATCCTATAAATCCAGGATATAAAAGTCATTATAGGACACAATGGAATAACTAAACAGCAACGAATGATAAGCTGTCCAGGAAAAACTGAAGCGAGTTCTCTCAACCAGCTCTCAAAGAGGGACAATGAGCCTTAGCTACTGGGTAAGCTACATTCTTTGAATTAAGAATATAAACTGCATTTATATTTATATAAAATAAAAACCTCTCTTCCCCACCAACCTTCTCCATTACTTCCTCATCTCCTCTTTATCACCAGAAAAGCTGTAACAATAACATGACTGACACCTTATGATACTGTTTGACTGCTATACTCTAATCCTTAGAAAAATTGATGAACAAAGAATATAAACATATAATGGGAGTACACTAAGCAGATTACATTAAGTCAGTTCATTCCATAACCTCCAACCTGAGCTCATGACGTAAACTCTTATCCTTTAGAGCCAACCTGAGATGGTGTACCTTGTAGGTCAGTATAACTTGGGTTCCTTATTTACCACGTTAAAAAACAAAAATAAAGACAAAAAGCATAAAAACTTTTTCCATATATCAGCAAAACTCAATTTTTTATGCAAGGTTTAAAAAAGTGAGAGTGTGGCTTTATTCTATGTTACGTTCCAGGTTTCTTAACCCCACAATCCCTTGGCTGACAAATGTAGGATGTCTTTATGCCACTTATAAACATAGACTATTAATTATGAGTAATATTTGAAGATATAAGGTAATTTAAAAGTGCTTTACTAGTCACACGTAAACAAAAAGCCGAGGATCGAGCGTTAAAAACACACAATAACAGAGGAACTGAAAAATGTAATATTCACACAAGTAAATTTCTTCTCAGGATCAATTATGAGCAAAAGAGTTGAAGATGGACGTGAGGTGGTAAAAACTTAAAATGTGCCTGGCTTTTGTCAGGAGGCAGGTAATATAATCCCCATGATTCTAGAGACACATCACTTTATAATGACCCAGACTATCTTTATCTTAGTTAAAACAAAATTTATGTACAAGTTCTCATGCTGCTTTCCTTAGAAAATTAATATTGAACATTTGAAAACTGGTAATGGGGCCGGCCCCGTGGCTTAGTGGTTAAGTGAGCGCGCTCCACTGCTGGCGGCCGGGGTTCGGATCCCGGGCGCGCACCGACGCCCCGCTTCTCCGGCCATGCTGAGGCCGCGTCCCACGTACAGCAACTAGAAGAATGTGCAGCTATGACATACAACTATCTACTGGGGCTTTGGGGGAAAAAATAAATAAATAAAATTATATAAAAAAAGAAAACTGGTAGTGAATAATCACTAACATGTATTACATATCATTGCAGCTTCATCTATCCATTCAAATGCTCTTAAAATTCCTACTATGTGCCAGCTTCCCTAGGACGGGAGAAAAACTGCTCCCGTCCTTGTGCTGTGCTTATTCCAGCAGGGGACATAACTATGAAGAACAGTTTAGGGCACCAGGAGGAGTCTGCGTGATCACCGAGGTCTGCATGAACCGCCAGCACAGCTTCGGGCAGGGAATTAGCTTTATCTGGGAGTGTGAGGGTGTCCCGGACGCGTTTATCAGAGGGAATTTTATCGAGGCTTTACAGGTCCTCCAGAAGCCAGCCAACGCAACTGGGACGAAAGAGTTAAAACATTTCATCCCTAAGTTCCCAAACCGCAGCTTTAGCAACCAAAAAAGAGGAATTAACCTGCAACAGGTAAAGAAAGTCTAGACCCGAACTCTTCCTATAAAGATACATGGATTTTCTAATAGAATTTGTCAAATTAAAACGAGAATTCAACTCATGTTTTAAACATCTGTCACAGAATCCAAATTCATATCCCCTTACTCAGTTTATTGCTGAAAATGTACATTTTGAGTCAGCAAACTGGGAGTAGGGGTGTGGGGACCATTAAAACAAGCACAACCTCCCATTCCGTGATCTTAATAGCAACTTTATAAATCAATCCATAGGGTCCCTTCCCCCTAATGATCTGCAAAGTACCAATCAAAACCTTACAACACATAATGAAACATAATCTGGAGGGCTCTCTGGGTCTGTGTTTAGAGTATCATGCCAGTAAGGCCACGAAGGCTGCTAATCTTCACTTTGTTCCATGACCTCAGACAGGGGCCCTACCTTCAGCTATTCCTGAAAACCTGCTTCCTTGGTCTCCTGGGGCTCAGGTGAGCACCACTGAGCCTTTATCAGCCAATTTGATACATGAAGGGGACCACATTCAATGCCCCCAAAAGAGAACTTCCAAAAGCTCTATTTAGCATTGCAAATATACGTAATATTCATGTCACAATTCACTATAGGCCTATCAGTCAGACGTGGCAAGAGAATACCAACACCATGCTGTGGCAGGCAACTTCTGACCTGGCTCCAATGATCCCCACCTCCTCGTATGCATGCCTTTGTGTGTCTCCTCCCCTTGAGAGTGGGCTGGGCCCAGTTTCTTGCTTCTAATGAGTAGGCTACAGCAAAAGTGATGGGATGCAATTTCTGTGACTATGTTGCAAAAGACTCTGACTTCCTTCTTGCTAGCCCTCTCTCTTTTGTTCATAAGCAAGGTGCCATATTGTGAGATTCTCAGTCGAGAGGCCCACATGGCAAGGAAGTGAAGGAGACTTCCAGCCAAGAGAGCACAAGGAACTGATAATCCGGCTAACAATCAGGTGGAGTGAGCTAAAAAGTGAATCCTTCTCAGCTGAGCCTTGAAATAACTGTTGCGTTGTGAGAGACCCACACCCAGAGAACCCAGCTAAGCTGCCCCTGCGTTCCGGACCCACAGAAACTGAAATAACAAATGTTGTCTTTGCCACAAAGTTTGGAGTAATTTGTTCCTTAAGAGCTAACTGACACATTGCTGTATACAAACAACTCTGTGCAAAGGTTTCCCACGGCCAACTTGAGACCTGAGGACTAAGGCACTGGAGCTGACTCTGCTCAAGGACCGCCTGCCCGTGCTTCTGCAGAACAGCTCCTTCCTTCCACTGGATCCCTGACTAGTTTGCTTTTCAAGCTACTGTTACAGTCCACTTAAAATAGGCCTTGAAGAGAGGTAATGATAAACTGCTGCTGAAGAAATACCCCAAAGACGTATCTATTTGTTTTCACTCCAGCATTTAAAAACT